CCTTCAACCTACTAGTGATGGCCTCTAACCTAAGAGCGATGGCCTCCAACCTAGTAGCGATGGCCTCCAACCTAGTAGCGATGGCCTCCAACCTAGTAGCGATGGCCTCCAACCTAGTAGCGATGGCCTCCAACCTACTAGCGATGGCCTCCAACCTAGTAGCGATGGCCTCCAACCTAAGAGCACTGGCCTTCAACCTACTAGTGATGGCCTCTAACCTAAGAGCGATGGCCTCCAACCTAGTAGCGATGGCCTCCAACCTAGTAGCGATGGCCTCCAACCTAGTAGCGATGGCCTCCAACCTAAGAGCACTGGCCTTCAACCTACTAGTGATGGCTTCTAACCTAAGAGCGATGGCATCCAACCTAGTAGCGATGGCCTCCAACCTAGTAGCGATGGCCTCCAACCTAAGAGCACTGGCCTTCAACCTACGAGTGATGGCCTCTAACCTAAGAGCGATGGCCTCCAACCTACTAGCGATGGCCTCCAACCTAGTAGCGATGGCCTCCAACCTAAGAGCACTGGCCTTCAACCTACTAGTGATGGCCTCTAACCTAAGAGCGATGGCCTCCAACCTACTAGCGATGGTCTCCAACCTGCTTTGAAAGGTCTTGAAACCGCAACAAATCTTGATTTTCGTGCGAAAGCTGTCGCCTCTGCCAGCAGTCTCTCGAATTCGGCTTCAACTTCCATCCCTGAGAGCCTGTCAGCGTAAAGCATGTGAAAGGAACAACGAATCGCTTCAAGCAAGCTTCTTGTTACTAGTAGCAGTCATTGAAAAACCCCTTGAACGTCCACTCGGGATGCACATGTTTTCAGCTTTCTCGGTGCCTGGGATGGAAACACTCGTCCTGGCGAAGGAACGATAGCGAAATCGACCAACAAAAACGCAGAAGCCAACGCACGACGCACGGTCCTTTCGTCCTGGAAAGCAACGCCAATAGCGGTACACACGCTTTTGCTTTGGGACCTGCAGGAACTCACTTTGTTCACTTTGCTTTCGCTGTGGAACACTGTGGACGGGCTCAAAGCTATCGAAAGCCAATCTCACAAACAACTTGGCCCGCAACATCAGCTTCCTTCATCGCCCGCACAGAAGACTGACGCATGTGGAGTATGCAGTGGAGTATGCGGATGCATCAACTGAAAACTTGTCTTTCTGTGAACCAAGTGCGCCTTTTTAAAGGGGAACAGGTCCATCTCCTGAGACAAAATAATTGAAATCGTCCCAGGTGTTCTTGGTTTACACAAGGCCCCAGGGCGTGTTTGTGCGTGATTCTGTGCCTTGGAAAGCCTTGTGAGTACAATCTAGTTAAACCTGCTAAGTGGTGCAACTGCCCGAACGAACGAATAACCGCTTTCACACCGTACATAAACTGCACACAAACAATTGAATTTCCATTGTCAGCAGTTTCGGCAAGTTGTCAAGAGATTGGACTTCCATTGTTCACAGCTTCAACATGGGCACGGAAAGAACGTTTCCAGCCAAAAAGGTTTGTAAGAAGAACTCCAAACAAGAGTCACTCGGAGTGTTCCAAAGGCGTCGCGGGTGACAAGGAACCAGGCCAACAAGCAAGACAAAGGCAGCTGTCAATCAAAGACAAGCAAGAACCGCTTCAAAGAAAAGGACTCAAAAGGCTCCACAATCATGAAAAGCCAATTGTCGTCAATTGACCAAGAAAAAAGCAATTAGGTTGAAGGCCATCACTCTCAGGTTAGGTTAGAGGCCATCGCTCTTAGCTTGGAGGCCATCGCCATTCGGTTGCATTGCTGTTACAAACAGATTCAAGGCTGTTAAGGTGTCCTTGATCCTGATGGCTCAAGAATCTCAACATGATCCAAACATGAATCTGTGGCAAGTCTTGTGAAGCCGATCACAATGTCAACATCCATGTTGTGATATTGAGCATTTGGTATGTGTAACGCAAAAAAAAGCGACAAGGCAACAGGGACAGATTGCATCTCCTCTTCATCCAATTTGGTCATGTCTGCGGAGGCACGCAGTGCAAATTTGGCTTGCCTTAGAAACGGCGCAAGGAGGGCCCTGAGGAGATCAGACATGTGAGATCATGTGAGATCACTGATCCAAGAAACTCCAATACTGGTAACAAGAGAATAGAAGTAGAGCAGATTCTTTTTTGAGTTAAGTGTTCAACAAAAAGCTAGGAACCAAATCATAAGTGCGAGCGTGAGCTATCCTGCGTCCATGCTAGCAGCGTACTCGTACGGTACTAGCGATGGCCTCTTTTCCGTAATCAAGTAGGCGGCTACTTCATTAAGAGGGATGGGGGGAAAAAGGCTAGGGGCATCGCTACTAGGAGCAAGGACGCTACTAGGAACTCTTCTCGTCTGGTCGTCTGGGAGTCGGCGCCAATCCAAAAAGCTCGGAGAGTCAAAGTGCAAGATCTGCGCTTTCACCTCCTCGCATCCGAGTGAGCTTGGCCGCTGGGGGAAAACGCTTTGCAAAAGCAAAAGCTAGAAGCTTCCTTTAACTAGTAGCTTCTTGTTCCTAGCAGTAAGGCCAGGAGCCCCTAGTAGCGTCCTTGCTACTAGTAGCGATGCCCTTTGTTACTAGAAGCTTCCTTTGACTGAATGCAAAAGGAACCTAATAGGAATGGCCTCCAACCTGAAAAGCACCTACTGAGATTGCAAGGGTGCTTCGTCTGATCTTTGCGCTCAGCTCAGACGAGCTATTTGTCGCTCTGGTCCCTTCTGGCCCCTTGTCCTTCACGCAGCAATCCGGGTGCGAACAACCTGCATCCTGAGGCAAACGACAAAAGTGCTGCGACAAACACTTCCTCATTGGTACGAGCCTCATCGTGGAGGCCGAACTTAGGATCGGCCTAGCAGGTGCGATGCTTTGCGCTGCTGTAAAGACTGGCAAAGCATCGCAACTTTGCTGCCCTTCATAGAGCTTGCGCTCCATGTGTGGAAATGTCTAAACAACACCGGCCACGCGAAATGGACTCCTTAGTATACGACCCGGTGAAAAAAGCTTGCTTCCTCCGGAGGCTGGTTAGAGCATAAGTTTTAGGATTCAAGAGATGTCTTGCCCGTTTCTAAACCTTTGAACCTGCCAACGAGTTTGTAGTGCAGTTGTCCCAATAAAATAGCAGTCTTTTGTTGCATCTGCCAAGCGCCTCTACAAATGCGCGGTTATACTTGCAGAAGTGATGGACCCCACTGGCATAGACCTCCACATGCTTCAGATTCACTCAAAATGCTTTGGAGGCCATCGCTAGTAGGTTGGAGGCTGATTCTTGTGACTCGATCTTTTGCAAAAGCAAAAAGCAAATTCTTCACTTTGATAGAGGGATCAAGCCTCCTTGCAGGCCAGGTTTGCTGCGCCTTGGTGTGACATGGACATGTCGACCGGTGGTGTGGTGAGGTGCTTGCGGTCCTAGGTGCCAACTTTTTCCGTTGCAATAAAGAACCAGGCGGTCTTGCCTGCGACGCTACTAGCGAGGACGCTGCGGACGCTATTTAGGAACAAAGGGCATCGCTATTAGGAGCAAGACGCTACTAGTAGCTCCTGGCATTACTACTAGTAACAAGAAGCTACTAGGAGCAAGGACGCTATACTTGTGGTCAAATGTCAAAATACAGGGATGAACAAGGACCCGTTTCCATTTCAAGACCAAACTGGCCAAGACTACAAGCACCCTTTTGCTCCGCAAAGATACTGCAGTTTCACTGTACATGCAGGCAGAGCAGAAGGCTGCTCGTCATTGAAGTAGGTGCCATAATGTGACTATTTGATTGATCAGGCAAGGTGTTGGCGTCAGCACCTACTAGCCGGGAGCAAAGCCACAAATAATTCTCTAGTCGAATCGATTTCTGCGGGTCCATCTCACTGGGATCCTGACCACGCTTTGTTGCTCGCCGAAATTGACGGTCCATCATCTTGAACACATACATGAAATAAGAAAAGAAGATCAAGGGTTCTTTCTTGGCCTCTATTGTTTTTCAACTACTCTCTGAATGTACTTCAATGCCCTTCATCACTCAGGGACTGAATCCAGACCACTCTGCTCAACATGTGGCAAGGACTGAGTGTCCTCTCATTGGCCCTCTTATTCGTGCATCGCAGGCACTCCTCCAGTCTCTAAGCAGAAAGGCAACATCAGTCGATGAATCCCGCCAGCTACACATTTCTCAGCTTGCCTTTCACAGCATGACTAATCAAGGTTAAGTTTCCTAAAAATCTAGGACCCAAATGATTAAGTAGTTAGCAACTTACTCCCTTACTTAATCAAGTAGGAGCGGGCAAAAAAGAGACACGGTGCGCCTTTTCGCCGGTAGTAGATGATATACTCCTAAGCTCACAGACTTGAGAACAAGAACGACAAAGACATTTTTCCGCCAAGCTTCCAAATACGTGGATGCAGCATCGTAGGCCACGTATTCCCTAGACAAACGAAAAGATGGGCTCAGATGAGCTCAGACGACACGACAAACAGCGACAAAGAGCCTGAAGGTGTTCTTCACCTTCAACCGGTCTCCAACTGTGCTGTTGTAGTGACCTTCCAAGACCTTTTGCACAAGGCTGATAAGGCTTTGCATACAAAGCTTTCACAAAAAAGAACATGAATGCATCTAACACTTCAATGCTCAGGGCAAAGCGCGCTTTGCAAACTTTGGCTTGTCCTTTTCAAGAACGTCCTGTTCAAGACTCCACGGTTCAGTGCGAAACGGATGAGCAACCTGTCTGTAATCAGTCTTTCACTTGCTTCAACCTATAGGAATGGCCTCCAACCTACAAGCGGTGGCTTTGCAAGTTCGCACACTTTCCCTTGCAAACTGGTTTGCCAGTTTGGTTTGGAGGGGACTGCCTGCGGACATGCTTTCTTTATGTGGAGACGTGGAGATGCTGCTTCTACGAGGTCTTCTCGATCGGCTTCATTGGCCCTCGGTTATTTTCAAGTTTTGTTGTTTTCTTTTTTTTAAACTAAGTTTTTAGGATGTTTCGTTCTCTTCTCCGAAGGCTATGACAGCTGCAGACCATGGCCTTGTCCATGTAGAAGTGGCGGCCACCAAGCACCTGTGTGCTTCTGCAAGTCTTGCGCAATCCACCAAACTCTTGAAATAGAGCAAATTGATCTTGCATTTTGTAGCAAAATAAGCGAAGGGCATCAACAAAAGTGTCCAAAAAGAACAGCGACTCAGACGCCGTCTGCTTGGCAGTCTGCTTGTGGCTTTTGGTACGAGCCAAGGGCACACGACACAGAGCAGCTGCTCGGCAACCTTTGAATTCACCATTCTCCACCTCCAACAAAGGTGGAGATCAAAATGGTAGAACTCTGAAACACACGATGTTTCGAACATGACAAGGAAAATAAGGTCTAAAGGTCTAAAGACAAAAGACAAAGGAACACCTTGTTGTGTTTGCGATGCCCTTGTTACTAGTAGCTTCTAGCTACTAGTAGTAAGGCCAGGAGCCCCTAGTAGCGTCCTTGCTCCTAGTAGTATGGCCAGGAGCCTCTAGTAGCTTTTTGTTCCTAGGCCAAAAAAAGGAACATGTTGTGTTTGCAAACCCGACGGCTTGATGTTGCGATGCATGTTGGCAGTGCCTTCCGACGAGCATATTCATCTGCTTTTGTAATGGAATCTCCGAAGTAGGTTCCTGAAAGAAGGACGTCGAGTTTCCCAGAGAACAGAAGAAACTACGGAGAAATGACATCTTCGTTGAGTTCTTGGTTTCTTTGGAATAGTAACAAGAAGCTACCAGTAGCAAAGGGCATCGCTACCAGGAGCAAGGATGCTACTAGTAGCTCCTGGCATCACTACTAGTAACAAGAAGCTACTAGGAACAAGTGCCACGCTAGTAGTAACAAGTGCCTTACTACTAGTAACAAGAAGCTACGAACGGAACAAAGGGCATCTATTGGGTGTCGGGCCATCACCGTAGAGACCACCTCCTCCTGTGGTACCACCAGAACCCAGCTTTGCCATGGTAAATCCCGTGCGAGCAATGGCAGAGAGGGCCTGCTGGGGTCATGAAGCCACAAACAAGCACCTTTGCAGTAAGGAAGAGAGACAAAAGCAGAAGTCAAAGCCTCAGGAATACTTGCATGGAAGAGAAGCCTCAGTACAAAGCAAATCGTCTGTGAAAACAAACATCTCTTCAGGGCTGCATCTCTGCTGCTTTAGAACCATCTGTCTAAAGAACCTACGAGGAGTAGAAGTGAGTAAGGCCACTGACCACTCGTTGGCATCATCACAATAGTCCATGTCGCTCCAATCAAGCCCTTTACCTGCCTGCGTTGCTAACACTGCTAGAAACACGTGTGGCATTGCACTGCATTGCAAAAATGCATGCCATGTGCGTGCGTTGGCGCGGATTGTCTCCCAGTGCCGAATCAGCCGCTACGAAGCGCCTCCATGGTCAAAGGTGTCCACTTCTTGAAGGGAGCTTCCTGATTGTGACGACTCTACGTTTCAAGTTCTTTTCTTCATGAAGAACACTTCTAGCAAACTCAAAATTAAACAAATATATAGCTTCCATTCTGCCTTGGCCTTTCCACTTTCGTTTTCTTTCTCAATTCGTCCTTCAATGGCTTCATGCAATCCAGGCGAATGACTTCCTTGGATACCTTGCTGAGAGCTGGAAAGGAGAGGAATGTCGCTAAAGATACGTAACAATGTTCGCTAGTAGTAACAAGTGCATCGCTTCTAGTAACAAGTGCCTTAATAGTAGTAACAAGAAGCTATTAGGAACAAGTGCTTGGATACGCTGCCTGGTAAATCCGCCACAAAGCGGCATTCTCGTTCCGCACGGCTCCCACCTGGTTCTCTTTCGAGGCTGCAAAGGAATCGACTACTAGCAAGAACGCTACTAGGAACAAAGTGCATCGCTACTAGGAGCAAGGACGCTACTAGTAGCTCTGGCCTTACTACATTCTTTTTTTCAGAACTGTTTCTTGACCATTTCTTTCAAGGACGCTACCTACTAGCTTCTTGTTACCTAGCAGTGTCCTTGCTACTCGTAGAGGACCATTTCTTTATTGCTTTTCAATTCTTGAACAAATTTGTCTCTGCAAGCAAGGCAAGGAACTATTTCATAGCCGGTGGGCACAGGAGTGTTCTGAACAAACTCGCCTCAATGGGGCTTGATCTGCAGTTTCGTTTGCTTTGATATTAGCTTCTCAATCACATCAATGCCACAACGCCCAAACGCCATCTGAAAATGTCCAAGCTGCCGCTGGCCCAATTTCTGTCACGCGTGAAGTTGCACATGGATTTGTGCCTTGGAACTCGAAGAGTGCAAGTGACAGTGTCCCTTGCAGTGCGACTGAATCTGTGGCAGTGTGAGTGGAACTCTTTGCGCCAAGGTGCGATTTGTTCAACAAATCTTGAAACCTGGCGACGACGACGACCGTCCCTAGGAGCAAAGGGCATCGCTACGAACGGGGCTGGCCTTACTAGGAACCATGTTTGCTAGAAACAAGAATTAGAATTCACTTTAAGTTCAATTAGGCGGCGCATGTGCATCGCTACTAGGAACAAGAAGCTATTAGAAACAAGTGCATCGCTACTAGGAGCAAAGGGCATCGCTACTAGGGGCTCCTGGCATCGACCGTCCCCTTGGACTCAAGAAGCCAAAATTGACGAAGACCGCTAGTAGCGATGCCAGGAGCCCCTACTCCCCTAATAGCGTCCTTGCTCCTAGTAGCGATGCCCTTTGCTCCTAGTAGCGTCTTTGTTCCTAGTAGCGAGGCCAGGAGCCCCTAGTAGCGTCCTTGCTCCTAGTAGGAGCCGCATTTGGTTCATTTGACAGTTGACACTTCGTCTATCACTTCAGACTCGGTAGACACGTGATGACATGTTGTGTCCGACTCTCGTGTAACCCACTCGCCTCTTGAGAAGACCTGCATCTTCTACCTTCACGAAGACCTTCCAAAAAGCAAGTTCAAGGCTTGGCGTTCACATACTTTCATGCTTGAAAGCGCTTACGGCACTTCTTGTGCGAGAAAAGACCCGTCCCCCGCGTTCTTTTTCGAGGCTTTTCAGCGAAATTGGGTGGAAAACGCTCTGCATCGTTTTTCGATACATCCTTGCACAACTTTTGTGCACCGTCCTTCACTGAACATCTGCTCGGTCATGCGATCATGAGCCGTGCGTAAGGGGCGCAAGTTTGCGCCACCAAATGCAGCAAAGAACTGGGAAAATAAGGGAAGGAAATTTGTTCAAAGACGCTTTCTTCAAAGAATTCTTTTGTTCCGTGAACTTTGAGAATGATTAGATCTGGGCGACTCAGGAGATGGTGCATGAGCTCGGGCTCGATACGCACCCTGGGACCTGTGCGACAGAACCAAAAGGCATAAGACTATTCCTTTTAGCTTGAATAAGCATATGAAGCTTGAATAAGGTTTGAGGTGTCCACAACCTCTCCAGAAGAAGAACGAAAAGTTGAGCCTCAAAGTCATCAAGTCTGCTTTGCCCATCGCCAGGATCGCTTTCTTGCTCAAACTGCTCAAGGAGTCCCGGATGCAGTGCCTGCTGCGGAGAGCGCTGCGCCGTAAATAATGAGCCGCTCGAGAAAGGTTTTTGCAAATGCACCCCCAACGACATAGATTCTAGGAGCAAGGACGCTACTAGGGGCTCCTGGCATCGCTACTAGGAGCAAGGACGCTACTAGGGGCTCCTGGCATCGCTACTAGGAGCAAGGACGCTACTAGGGGCTCCTGGCATCGCTACTAACATCTTAAAATCTGTCAAGATGCCTCCAACTCCGTAGCGTACCATCTGTTCTTGTCGAGGTTTTCCTCTTGAATTCTCACTCTCAATGCATTCCCTGAGCAGAAAAAAGGAGAAAGTCCTTGCATTCCGAGCCAGTGTTCTGTAGCTGTCTTGTAATTTTTTAAAGCTTTTTCGCGCAAATAGAAAGGGAGACTGGGAGGAAGGCAGGACATACAGGCCAAAACACATCCAAGAAGTCAAGTAGTGATAAGATGTGATACGTGAGTGAAGAACTATAACTTTTGAAATTGACTTCATTGCTGGGACTTCTGCGGATGCTTTCAGTGGCATGCTCCACACATCGGGTATCAACTCTCACAGCCTGCCACCTGCAGCTGAGAGCTCGATGCAAACAAAGGACCCCAAACGAAGACACTTGCTACTCTTTTGCTATTCTTTTGCCATTAAGAGCAATGGTCTCCGACCTTATAGCAATGGCCTCAGAACCTATTTGCAATGGCCTCCAACCTAAGAGTGATGGCCTCTAACCTAATAGCTACTCTTTTGCTACTCTTGTCTGGCCACATGAAATCATAGTTTGACCGCAGTTCTTCTGCAGCAAACTGGATCGGCTGCATATTCCGATTTCCATTCCTCGGGCAAGTTTTGATCAGAAACTGAACCAAAGCAGCAGTGTGAGCTGTCCCAATGCCCTCCATCTTCGATTTTGCCAAGTATCTTTGCCTCCCATGTGGGAAAGGGCAATGACAAAACCACAGCAACAGTCATGACAAAATGTCTACTTGACCGAAGGGAATACGTCGCCTATTCCGGCAGCCAAGCCTGTTGATACGGACGATCAACGGCCAAGAGAACAATCTTTTGGTGTTTCTGCCATTCTTTGGTGGCAAACTCCAGGGAGTTCCTGAGAGCCGCAAGAAAGGCAATTGGTTCACCAAGCTTCTTGTTACTACTAGTAAGGCACTTGTTACTAAGAAGCGATACACTTGTTCCTAGTAGCTTCTTGTTTCTACTAGCTTCTTGTTACTAGTAGTAATGGCCTCCAACCTAGTAGCTTCTAAGAAGCAACACCCATCTGGCCGTCTGACTCATGAGACATGCACGGTCTTGACCAACGCGTTTGTCTTTTTGACGAGACAGCTCCTATTCAGTCGCAATAGCACCACTATCCTTGAACCCAAATAACGGCTCTCTGAAAAACCGGATGCCAGCAACGAACCCGAAAACCAACACCTCCAAAATTCTCAGACCCCAAGCAAGCGAAAAACGTTTTTTGGAGGCAAGGAAATCTGGGAGGCAAGGGCACAAGGGGCACTCTTGCACCACACTCTTGTCGGACACTTTCAGCAAAATTCTTCTAGCTACTGTGACACTTTTGCGAGAAGAAACAAGTGCCACGCTAGTAGTAACAGGTGCCTTACTAGTAGTAACAAGAAGCTATTAAAGACACTCATCTAGGCTGGACACTCTTGTTCAGGTGAAGCACTTGACTTCACTAGCAGTTGGAACGCGGAACTTCACCGCGTTGCCAGCTGCACGCACCATATACTGTGGGTTCAGCCTGCTGGAGTGTGTTGCTCCTGTTGCTTCATATAAGCTAAAGGAGTATGGCCTCTGCCAGGTGATGCCTCGTTGGGTGAAGTGTTGCAAACTTGCGGACCAACTCGGAGGTGTTGCGCAAAAGGGCTGAAAGGTGCAGCTTTCACAGATCTCTCAAGTTTGCGCAAAACAAACACCGTTCGTAGCGTCCGATCGCTCCGTTCGTAGCGATGCCCTTTGCTCCTAGTAGCGTCCCTTGCTACTAGTAGCGATGCCAGGAGCCCCGTTCGTAGCTTCTTGTTTTTAGTAAATCCAATCCACATCGCGCTGGCCCGAGGTTGGCGGAGCGAGATTCGGTCACACGGTTCCAGTAGGGAATGGAACCATGAACACATGATGAGGGGTGGCAGATGTTTGACAAAAGTTGAGTTCATAGCCTCATACCACTTCTGGCCTTCGTGAATTCCTTGTTCTGGGTTAGCATCGCCCCTAACCTGCCTGGCTCCAAAATGCACAGAAAACAAAGCTTCGAAGCAAACGCGCCAAATCCGAATGACACAGTGACTCAACAAATCTGAAGAAATTCTCCCATGAAAAACCTCTGAAAACATTTAGCTCGATGCGGCGGGCGTAGAGATCTGAAATCATGGTTGCAAACGATTGCAAACGCTAAAGCAATTTCAATGGAACAGGAACCCACCCTTCCCAACTCAATCGGGAAAGAACAATTGAACAAATAAAAGGAAGGGGGACAGATCTAAAGAAATTGAACACGCGACTCATTAAACTGTGAACAGTAAAAACAAAACAATCCACAGCATCTCATAATGTTTTCATCAGGGGTCCCTTCATTCGTGCAGGCACAAAGGACCATTTCCTCGGCTAAGGCGACATGCCAAGAGGTTACTCTCACTCTCGGCAAAACACTTTCGATCGCGATGTGAAACAACACAAAAAAAGAAAGCACTCTTTGCTTTAAAGGGCTTTAGTTGGAGGATATCGCTAATAGGTTGGAGGCCATCGCTAGTAGGTTGAAGGCCACCGCTATTAGATTGGAGGCCATCGCTGTAGTTAAGTTTCCCCAAACATCTAGGAACCAAATCATTTGAAGCGTGAGCTACCCTGCGCCCTGGGTAGGAGTGTACTTGTAGGTAGTAGCTAGTCTCTACTAGCTACCTCTACCTACCTACCTACCTCGGCTTAACCCCCCAAAACCCCTAGTAGCGTTCTTGCTCCTAGTAGTAAGAATGCTCCCAGTAGCAATGCCAGGAGCCCCTAGTAGTGATGCCCTTGCTGCTAGTAGCTTCTTGCTCCTAGTAGTAAGAATGCTCCTAGTAGCAATGCCAGGAGCGCCTCGTAGCGATGCCCTTGCTCCTATTCTAATTTACTTTAAGTTAATTCTAATTCTCATTCTAATTTCATTTAATTCTAATTCTAATTTACTCTAATTGAATTCTAATTCTAATTTAGTTTAGTTTAATTCGTCTAATTCTAATTTAATTCCAATTCTAATTCTATTGTAATTTAGTTCTAATTCTACTTTAAGTTAATTTCATTCTAATTTATTACATTAATTCCAATTCCAATTTAATTTAACTTAATTCCAATTCTAATTCCAATTTAAAATAAATTGCTTTCAATTCTACTTTTATTTCTATTTCAATTTGATTCCAATTCTTGTTTCTAATAGCTTCTTGCTAGTAGTAAGGCCAGGAGCAACGATCAGGAATCACTCCACAAAATCGAAGCGGCGAAGTCCCCTCGGAGCCGCTCCGAGGCAAACTCCAAGGCCCGGCCCTGGTTCAGCACCGCTTTCAACGCCACCTCCTGTTGCAAAGGCCAAGCAAAACGCAACCGAAACGAACAACTAAACTACGCAGACCAAAAGAGATGAAGTAGCTGCCGTACTACTAGGAACAAGTAGCTACTAGGAAGTAGCTACTAGGGGCTCCTGGCATCGCTACTAGGAGCAAGGACGCTCTCTTGTTTCTCTTTAGCGGAAGAGAAACACTCCAGAAGGCCACAAAAAGGAAACACATTCTAGGTGGCTCTCTTGGTGGCTTAGAGGCTAAACCAGGGTTCTATTTGGTGTCCTTGTCGTCCCGCAGCTCTGGAGAAGCAAATTGCAAAGAGCGGCCATCCTCGCTGTGAACATGTTGGCGAAAAGGCCCAATTGCAGTGCCCTCGTTTCAGAAGAATTGCTGCAATTTCTAGGGTAAGGGAGAACAGGTTTAAAGCAAGGAAGAAAGAGAGAGAAGGAACGGAAGAATCATTCTTGTTTCTAGCAGGAACGGGTAGTCAAAGTCCATTTGCAAGAGACTTAGTATCACAAGTATATAACACGCGTTTGCTTTCTTTCCTCTTTCTGTTCTTTTCTTTAGACCTGTACACCTGTTCCTTCAGCATCAGTCTTTGCTCCTGTGACACGGCCCTGGAGACCACCTCCTTGTCTGCACGAAGTTCAGGCACTGCGTAGCCTAGGGCCTGTCCATCCTTTGCGACGGCTTCCATGACCACGAAACGATCTGACCGCGCATATTCTGGGGCACATTTCAAGCAGTCAGGATCTGAGTTCACCTCAAAAAGCGCGAGCAATTGGATCACTCATTCTGAATGAAACACATTCTTCAAGAACAACTCTGTAGTCAAGCTCCTCCTCTTTTTCTTCGAATTTTCTGGACAGCTGCAGAGTTCGCATATTGGAGCTTCCAAGATGCTGCCCAGCCACTCGTGGGATCCAGGCATGGGCACGGGGATCTCTCGCCACCATGATAAAGGTCAAGGTGTCGCCATCATTCACTCTGGACGCAACCCGGGTCTCCTTCTTCAGGATTTCACCACTGGGAGACAATAGCTGGAACCTCAAAGACGGAACACAGAAATTGAACATGAAAGCTATTAGAAACAAGAAGCTCCTAGTAACAAGTGCATCGCTACTAGCAACAAGTGCCTTACTATTAGAAACAAGAAGTTCGTCTCTGCGACCTTTTACCGATCTTACTTACTTCGCACCCGGCCTTAGAATGGTGTCTGGATCGTGTGGGATTTTCAAGATTCCCATCTCCAGCAACTCCTTGGCTCAGACCACTACGCACAGCGAAATAATATTTGACGTTGGAATCAAGAAATGAAAGGATCAGAACAATGTTTGCTATTAGAAACAAGTGCATCGCTTCTAGTAACAAGTGCCTTACTAGTAGTAACAAGGCTTGCTACTAGGGGCTCCTGGCCTTACTAGAAGAAATGATAGGATCAGAACAACGGTTGTTAGACACAAAACTCCTGACTTCAGAAATGACATGGAATGGCCTCCAACCTAATAGCAAAGGAATACATGCAAGGAATCTGAACATAATGTTTATTAGCCATGGCCTCCAACCTAGAAGCAGTGGTTTAACAGAAACAGCAAACACACAACTCCTGACTTTACACCTTGCTGAAAACTTTCACAAGAGATATACGCATCAAGACTCACTGAAAGTATCATCTGGCTCAAGCTTGTGGTTCTCTGCCACAATAGTACCTCTCCACAAAGTGGTCTGAAAAGTGCCCAGCCTGATGCCTTCACCTTATCTTCCCCTTACAAAGAAAAGAACATTTTGCCTGCAATTTTAAACAATATTCAAATTAGACCTTTCTCTTTCGATCCGCTTTTCTTTAGCCCTTTTGTTTTCTGTCTTTGGATCTTGCTTCCTGGCGTGAACAGCCCTAATCCTCACAAAAGCGGACTCGGTCCACTCGGAGAGCGCCTCCAGCTGTCACCACGGTCACTCGAGCCATGGCTACCGTGGGCTACAGCTGGAGCAGCTGCGAATGTGCATGTGCGGCGGTGCCACGTGCCATGTGTGCTGTGCTGCTGTGCTTGTGCATGTCTTTCAGTCAAGAGAAGTGAGAGCTTTCCTTGTGACTCCCCCTCAAGAAGTGTTGCTTGCAATCGTAGTTAGATTTGGCTGTAAGCAGTAGCGTAAGCAGAAGGCCCTACGAAAAGGACGGTCGACCACACCTGCTCTGGATACTTCACGAAATCATCCTCTAGCTGGATGCTCGGTACACAGGCCTAGCGCACAAAGGGCTTGCAGCCTTACCCCAAAGGCATCTTGTAGCATGCAAACTCTGTTTGGAGCTGTACTTGGCACCTCGAGGTATTTTATCGCAGCTTCTTTCCCGGCACTTTCAGCGATCTGCAACGCTGTCTTCCCATCCTTGCTTTGAACTCCGACATCCCAAAATCATTTCAAAAACATTTTTCCAAACACTGCAACCCCCAAGGAGTTTTGCGTCTGATGCATGTAATACCTCTGGTTGCTTTTGAGGCCTCTTTGTTCCATTCTTTGCAACTAACTACCTCGTTCTTCAAAGTGACCATTTGATATCCTGGTTTGAGGTCACTTAGGCGACTCCAAAACGGTTACTTTGAAGAAGAAGAAGAAGAAGAACAAGACACTGGTAGCTGGTATTGCCATTTGCTTGTTGCAGTCCCCCTCCTTGGTCAACAGCTTGACATTGGCCTTGTAATCCTCCAGCAAACGTCGAAGCACCTCTACGCAGGGAATGTCTAGAGCGTTCTGTCACTTCATGGCACTTTGTCCATTTCAAGAGGATCTAAGATTTTGAGCTTTGTGGCTCTAAGGTTCTTTTTCTTGCTTTTGCCGACAAAATTTTGGCTAGCCAGAGTTTTCTTGCTTATTTTATTCTTTCTATGTTTCTTTGTCCTGAATGTTCATCATGCATTGTCTTTGTTGGTGTTCTTTTTGTTTTCCTGTTTGAAAGAAAGGTCCAACGGTCAAGTTTCCCTAAACAAATCTAGGAACCAAATGAATAGAAACGTGAGCTATCCTGCATCCTCTGTCACTAGTAGCTACTTGTTGGCTACTAGCTACCTCTTCTACTAGCTACCTACCTCTAGCTACTACTTCCTAGCGGCCTACCCCCCCTGCGCGCGCGCGGAAAACACACAACATCGATGCTCCGATGTTTTTTCGTTTCGTCTCGTTGCCTCGATGTCGCCGTGGAAGGCCGCTTGATGAAGAACACCTGAAACACCGAGACTACTACTAGCGTCCTTGCCAAACAAACAACATCGCTACTAGGAACAAAGGGCATCGCTACTAGGAGCAAGGACACTACTAGGGGCTCCTGGCCTTACTACTAGGAACAAGGACGCTACTAGGAACAAATGGCATTCCTACTAACAGCAAATAGCTACCAGTAGCGTCCTTGCTCCGTTCGTAGCGATGCCGTTACTAGTAGCGTCCTCTTGTTCCTAGAGCTACTAGTAGCATCCTTGCTCCTAGCACAAACAAATATGTGGTGGACATTGAAAGCACCGAGTTTAGACATTGAACACACACAAAAACAGTTGTTGACTTCGTGTTGGTCTGGGCTGGCTGCCATATTGCCGTACCTCAAAGGCCAAGCACTGCGTTGAGAAACAAATCATTGCATAATCACCGTCAACGCCTAATATTATTACGAGTAGCAAGAAGCTACTAGGAGCAAAGGGCATCGCTACTAGGAGCAAGGATGCTACTAGGCTCTCCTGGCATCGCTACTAGTAGCAAGAGGACGCTAATAGATTGGAGGCCATGGCCTAATTGTGCAATCTTCCACTCGTCCAAGTGGCAGATGGCCGCGTGTTGACCACCTGCTCAGGATTGCTGAAGCCCTTGAGGAGCTCAAAGGTCTCATCCTTAGAATTTACACATGGCCTCCAACCTAGTAGCGTCTCTTGCTACTAGTGGCGATGACAGGAGCCCCTAGTAGTGTCCTTGCTACTGACACACATTGTCAACCTAGGGTTTAGGGAATTTGATCTAGACTGTCGGAACTCTGCGGCACATTGTGTTCTTCATAAAGCAGTTGAAGCTCCGTAAAGTACCTGGAGAACAGCTCAGTACACCACCCACTTGCCTTCCTTTGCTGCATCAATCACCTGTCTCCAAAACATGTCGGGCACAGTTTTCTTACAGGGCATTACTACTAGTAGCAAGAAGCTACTAGTAGCTCCTGTCCTTACTACTAGGAACAAGAGGATTACTAGCAATGCTTGAATGGATTTATTCAATGGACTCAACTGTCCCATGGTGACTTCTGGCTTTCAATCTTCTCGCCTGATGTGCCTGCTGCAGCAAGGCTGCGCTGTCTGCGCTGACCTACAATGAGACTTTGGAAGGAAAGGTCTGAGAGGGAAAAGGAAAGGTAAGGGACCTACTAGCCGCCTAGCCATGGCCTCCAACCTACTAGCGATGGAAAAAGGGAAGGTAAGGGACCCTTTACTAAGGCCCCTTTGGTTTATACAAGGGTATCAGGTATGAGAAACTCTGTGCATGACGTGCCTGCCAGGTAGACGTGGTCTTCGCAATTTTGGACGTGACCAGCTTGTTGTTTTTTCTTTCTCTCTCTCCCTCTCCCCAAACTAGTGCTTTTTGACCATTATATTCTTCTCTTATTCAGCAAAACGATCTCGCCTCATATTCCTTCTTTGGAGCAAGGACGCTAGTAGTAGCAAGGTGCCTTACTACTAGTAACAAGGACGCTACTAGGGGCTCCTGGCACCGCTACTAGGAACAAGGACGCTAGTGCCGCTAGCTTGGAGGCTGCACTTCTTGCTTTTCTCGCCTCAAGGGTGTTGAGGTACTCCACGACTTCGCTCTGACCCAACTGCTCAGCCACTTGGAGGGGCGTCTCCTGCCAATTCAGCACCTTTTTCCTATAAAAGTAACAACTAAAAATAGATGTCAAAAAAGAAAGGTCAAATAGAAAAAAGACAGAAAGGACAGGTTCGGAGCATCGCCTTGTCTCTGGTCAGCAAGCCTCTCCACGAGTGCAATCTCAATGGATCCACAAGGCGGTCCAACACCTTTTTTCATGCATGTGTTGCATGTCAAACAGTATTCACATCAATCTGGCCTGGATTTGCTCCGCTATCGACCATTCGTTTCAAGGTCTCTACATTTCCAGCAAAGATCACCTGATGGATGGCCTCAGCTGACAGATTCGGAATGCTTCATCCCGCCTTCCATCGTGCTCGCTTGCTGATGGTTTCAAAGCTTTTGGGTATTTGGGGTCTCCTGGCCTTACTAGGAGCAAGAACGCTACGAACGGGGCTCCTGGCATCGCTACTAGGAACAAGGACGCTACTAGGAGCAATACTATTGTTTTTCCCGAACCGTCAAGTCGAAAACTCAGAGACCTGCAGCCCAACGACGGAACTCAGGCCGCATGTTTTGGCAACCTGTCGCACGAAAGGGGGAGAGTGGAACAAGATAGGTCCAGGTCCAGGCAGGGAACAGAAAAGGGATAAGAATGTAAGGGCCCTGTATTCAAAGGGGTCCTTACTGGCCCCTACCTTCTTATGTTCCATTTCTTTTTATTCTTACTTTTGCACACGCAAACTATGATTGACATGAGCAGGCGTAGTACATTTTGGAGTTCCATGTGATTTAGCAAGAATAGCTGGGCCATCCAATGAACAACTGCCAATTTTCTTTCATGACGTTAAAGAACATTTGTTTGTTTTTGTTTGTTGGTTTGCCTGGATAGACATCGAAAATCTCGAACATCTCATCCCAACGCTCCCACTTCGCATGCTCAATGGCCTCTGCGGTGCCAAAGAGGAACATCTCTTCTAACGATTTCTATGGTTGAAATGCGTTCTCGTTGCTAGTAGTAAGGCCAGGAGCCCGTAGTAGCTAACATTGCTCGTAGTACTAATCACTTAGTGACTTTATACGACCGTTTTGTGACTTTGTCACTTCCAATCTTATCGGAACTGCTAATTCTGCCACGTCTATCTTTCAAGAGTTGCACCTCGTTGGCCTTTTCCATGAGCTGCTCAGCATCCTTGGCTTTGCAGGGTGCTCAATCTGTGCATCTTTGATGTTGCCAGATGTTGGCAATGTGCTTCTTCTACTAGGAGCAAGGACGCTACTAGGTACAAAGGGCATCGCTACGAACGGAGCAAGGAAGCTACTTGCCAAACATACCTGCTAGGGTCCGAAGGTGGTCCGAAGGTGGTCCGAAGGTCGTCCGAAGGTGGTCCGAAGGTCGGAAGGTCCTAGGTCGCTGACAAGCTCACAGCCACCTCCCCGCAGCATCTTGGTCGGGGGCTCTTCCACCTCTGACTCCCTGACTAGCTCTGTAAAGCACCAAATATCTTGCAAACTGTTTCGCTTTGCTGCAAAGGTAGGCTCAGGACGCATCTTCATCTTCAGCATCATCCTTTCCCGCGGCCAGTTCCTCAAATGACAGGACGCATTCAATTCTTAGAGGCTAAACGCCAAAAGTTTTAGAATTCTACAGTCCTGCAAGCAGGACACAGCCTCTTCGTTACCGTTCTCTTCTGCCTGGCCAAAGCCAAATCAGATCAAATCGGATAGATTTCCTACGCAAACGCAATCGTGTTGCTTTTTCTCACACTTGGCAACTTTTTTGTTTTCACTGAACACTAGGCAACTTTGGCCCATCCGCCCAGGCTCGTAATGCCACCATCCACTGTGATATCCTCTGCCGTAATGAAGCTGGCTTCCTCAGAAGCCAGGAACCTCAGAGTGACGCTCAGCCCTGAGAGCGCCCCTAAATAAGGCCTTACTGCCTTACCAGTTTTCCAAGTTTTTCTGGTAGCAAGGATGCTATTAGGTGCAGGCCATCGCAAGTAGGTTGGAGGTCCTCGCTACTAGTAACAAGAAGCTACTAGGAGCAAAGGGCATCGCTACTACGAGCAAGGACGCTGCTAGGGGCTCCTGGCCTTACTACTAGGAACAAGAAGCTAATAGGAGCAAGGATTTCCCTCACCAAAGAATCAGGGAATGAAAAAGTCAAAGCTGCCGCTTGGGGACAGGACCACCCTCGCGATTTCCGAAGGCTTCCCAATACGCTTCATAGGATAAACAGTGCCAGCTTCTTCAGCAGTAGAGCTTCGCCGGTTCAAGAGAGACTCAACCAGCGGCGTCGCAATCGTCCCTCCGGAAAGAAAGTCAAAGCTGCGAAGACACACAAGTTGTTCGCGCATATGAAGCAAAGACTGTCAACAAAATCAACGCAAATAGATTTAAAGGTAAAGAACACAACTGAATCTCAAGGCATGTGTTGTTTTAGATGCCCTTTAGCACTTGAAAGCTGTTTGAAGCCTATCCCGAAGCTGAATTGAAGTTTTGGGCTTTGGCCTGGACTTACGGAGTTAACTCGTATCCCCATGGCTGCATACTCCACGGCCAGTTGTCGTGTAAGGGATAACACACCTCCCTTGACTGCTGCATAAGCCGGTATTCGCGGTTGTGATTGGCTGCCCTGCACGGATGCAATGTTGATGATCACGCCCTTCTTGGACTGCATCATGTGTGGCAGCACATACTTAGAGAACAAGAAATAGGATGTGAGGCCAATGGAGAGAGTCTTATTCCAATCCTCGAGACTGTGTTCATGACAGGGTGCCTCCAGCTGAACGCACACATTGTTGATTAAAATATCCACTGGACCAGCCTCCTTGCAACACCGCTCGAACTGCTCAGGTACTGCACAATCACACTTGAAAAACGTGCACGAGAGGTTCTCGGGCTCCACTAAATCCGCGACGACCACTTGGGCAGCTTCCTCCGCAAAAGCACGCGCAATGCTTGCGCCAATTCCCATGGAGCCTCCCGTCACCAAGACACGTTGGCCTTCAAAGCGCTTCGGAAAAGTGGCCACCACAGACCGCTCTGCAGGCTTCTCCGCATCCAGCTCTTCTCTGCTTCTCTTGCACGACATAGATTGAAGACCGACAGGCCAATGAGAAGCGCTTCGGTTGACCCAGCAGCTTTGACTTTAGCATTCTTTTTGATATCTTTGCTATCAGAAAAGGAAACAATTTGCCTACGTTGCTCTAGCTGCAATGCCCACCCACCATTAGTGCTATATATTAAAAGCAGTTCTTTCTGCGTGTCAAAAGTGTTGAAATCGCTTTGCCCAATTGGACTGACCCAAATGCCTTTCTCTCTATCAATCGGAGCTCCAAAACGCTTTGTCTTCGTTGAGCAGGTGAATTGGCGCTGAGGTTCATGACATCAATTGGTTCAAACGCAAACGCTCTCATGATTGGGTGCATTCACTAGGTCTGTGTTAGGTTGAAATCAGCTTGACTTTTCTTGTTTGAGGGCAACGTCAGTCTCTTCTTTATGCTTTCATGCTTTTTGTGTCTTTCTGACTTCCCAAGACTTGCAACATCATAGAAGTCCTTTCATCCATGACCTGCTGAAGTTGAATCAAGTTGGCCGGGAGGACGACTTCTTCTGGAGTTTGCCCATCCTGGATTGACCGACAATGCAAGCAGAATCACATGCAAGTTTGAGCATCTTATCAAAAAGAGCATGCTCTACACAGCATCGGGCATCGCATGCATTCTCTCTCCAAATCCGCACCTTCGTCTTCAGCAGGACGTCAGCAAACCAGGTCTCAAAAGGGGCAATTGCAAGACTTACTTGTATTTATTAGTTAGGAGCAAAACTTCCAGCTCTGAGCGTCAAACTGAAGCGAGTTCTCGAATCACTTCCACATCTCCATGGTAACACGCCTAGGTGGCGACCGAAATGAATCTGAAATGAATCTCTAAAGCCGACCCGTCGCCTGGTGAATCGCGGCGTAGCGGCGATAAGGTGGCCGCATGTTCACCTGGGAGGATTTCTTTTCTTTGACACAGTGATTTTCCTTTTCATTTTTGACACCTATAGACCGTCTTTCTTCCTTTTCTCCTTTCTTTTTCAGATGTTTTTGTTGTCTTCCAATTCCTCATGTTGGTTTCTTGCGAGAAAAGTTGTGGGAAAAACTCAGGGGCCAAGCATAGCCAGGATGTCTGCCAAGGATTTCTCGCAATGTTTCCCACTCACCTTCTTTTGCAGCAGCAATGAAGTCCTGAAGTCCCAGTTTATCCGAAGTGAAGTGGTTTTACCTCTACTATACAGGTGTACATCTTCATTTTTTTAAAAAGGGGAGTAGGCAGTGAGGAGAGCTGAAGTCAGTAGCTAGCTAGCGCTAGCGAGAAAGAGTGGTAAGGGGAGTAGGAAGCAATCGGAAGCAAAGAAGGGATGCAGAATCATCAGCGGCGGGGACATCTTCCGTGAAGAACCCTTTGCAAAAAGAAGGGTTTCGTTTCGAAGGAAATAGTGATGGCCTCCAACAGGACACTTCACATGTTGGAAGTCTTTACACCCCTTTTTAGGGGAACTTGGGTCTGGAATTTAAGACCTACTGAGCTATTGCTAAGCCTGACTCTTAGGAACTGCATCTTCGTCATACTGCCTTTCTCGTCGAAAAGGGAACCGATCCATCTCAATCGTCCTCCAACTCTGAGGTGTCTGGGTCTTCGGCCACCTGCATTGTGAGTCTTGGGAAATCTTCAGGAACCGACCGTCTCGAAAGCATCACACTTGCAAGATGTTTCGAACAGATTTCAGTGTATGTATGTCTTATTTATTGTCACGTTTTTATCATCTTTTCCTTTTTGTTCTTGAGACCTCAACCTCGCTTCTCCGGCCTTTGGTTTGGCCTTCGACTTCTTGGACTTCGATCCCTTTGCGCCCGCTGTCGCTGCTTTTAACAGTGCCTACGGCAGGTCCGAAGGAGTCCTTGAGAGTCCTCTTAGTCTCTTGCTCTTCTTTTCCTTTGGTCTTCGGATCTATTTCAACTCCTCGTAGTTTCTATAATCATTTGCTCTTGATCCAAGACAAGATGTGAGAATGCAATATATAGGTTCCTGTTATCTACTACTCATTTGTAGCATGTTGAGTTTCTTTGTGTTCTGCTTATATATAAAGTTTGAACACTGTTTTGAACATAGAATGTTTCTTTTGCGGTGCAGTTGTATTCAACCTTCATTTCTTTTGAAGATGTATCGAAAACAAGGCGGCAAAATAACATGGTTGATGCTCCGTACAGCAAGGTCCTGGCTCAAAGCCTGCGTAAACTGGATCAACTTGCTTCCCCTTTATTGGTTATTCTTTCCTGCGTTTTGTTGTTTTTCTATATGCTTCTTCAGTCCTTCCTTTCTTCCTTCTTTATTCCCTTTTTGGCTCAAGAATGCAACAAGCGAAGGCTACAATTGCAAACTGTGCAGGAACACTGGAGTCAATAAGGGCAGGTACTCTCAAAGAAACGCTGCCCCAGGTCAGCGAACCTATTGAAAACCCCGAGGTCTTGACAAATGTTCTGAGTCCACCATTCTGACTCTTTTGCGCTTTCACATCGTGGATCCAAAGTCAAACTGGACGAGAAGGACATGGACATTGAAAAAAACAAGCGTATATGCTTGGAAAAAACAAACAGAAAAGGAAGACAGGAAAAACGGTCTAAAAGGTCGGAAAAAAATCAAGCAGAACTGAGCGCAAAAAGGAACGGCAAAGGAACCACAAGTCTTTTGGGAGGGAACATATGTTCGTAACGCATAGGCTGGAAAGCTTGGGTCTTGGGTCGTCACCACTCTCTGTTCAAAACGGAGGTAAGCCGTCGCTTTTAGAGGCAGCGAACAAGTAAACAACATAGCAACGCGACGTCCAGCTTGGATGCACACTCTGCTCGAAGCTGCTTTTTCCGCGCGGGAGCTTCCTTTAAGCATCTCTCGGAATTGGGTTCTTCGATTCTTTTCGGTAAAACCTGTACTTGTAGAGGTCTAGTAAGGTTGACGTGGGACAATTCAGTCGAAAGGAAGCTCCTAGATGCAAAGAGTAGACTAGTAGGGATGCTTGATGTCGCTTCAAGACAGGAGGAGACTCGGAGGAGAAGCCCTTGAAGAACCTGCCCTGTACAATACATGTCCTACTGCTTAGACCAAGTGGGAAAGTATACTTTAGAGCATTTGACTTTCTTTCTGTTCTTCCTTCGTTTTGTCACTACCGCTCAGGAGTGGAGTGCTTTCTGTTTCACCAACTGAAAGGACAGACTGGACAACTCACCGGTTGGTGCACCTCTTCTTCGGGGGAGGGCGGTGGAATGCTCGTCCACCAGGTTGGCATGCCCTTCCTGCAAAGAAATCCGGATGTGCCGGCCCGTGCGGTCCCCGCTGCGGCCCCCCTCCCGCACCAGATCATGAACATGCCCTTGTTGCTAGTAGCTTCTTGCTACTAGTAGCGATGCCCTTTGCTCCTAGTAGTAAGGCCAGGAGCCCCTAGTAGCTTCATTGCTCCTAGTAGCGATGCCCTTGTTACTAGTAAAAATGTGTGGAATCTCTGGAATCTCGAGCCTCCATTCTCGCTTGTCCGGAATTTCGATCCCGAGCCTGGGGGCTGGGCGTGAAAAAGAGTTAGAAGCGATGGTCTCCACCCTAAGACCGATTTCCTTCTCTAGTAGCGTCCTTGCTCCTAGGAGCGATGCCAGGAGCCCCTAAGAGCGATTTCCTTCTCTATAGACTTAGTTCTGCCAAATTTGAACTCAGCATCACAGCACACGGCAACTCAGAATCAGTCGGAATGCCAATGGTGTGCTTGTCGGCCCACAGGACGAACCTCAGCTTTCAATTTCCTTTTACGTGCCTGACAAGGCAACTACTCTCAATCTGGCTGAGTGCCGTGCTCTGCAAATGAAACCATGTTGTTCGCGTCAAAGTCTAGCGCCTTCATCTCCTTGCTGACGACATCGGGTTCCAGACCCAGGAACTCAGCAAGGTTCCCCATGGCTTTCATGTCGGTCACATTCACATAGCCATACCTTTGAGACACGGCACAACACATGATCTCTACCCATCAGCGCATGAGCACCTTCTGCCGTGGAAGTTTCTCAGTCGCAAGCTGGTTGGCTTGAGCGTCGTAGCCTTCCTGTGCAATGCTGGTGGCTCGCACAATGCTTGCGCCAACTGCAGGCCGCACAAGACCATTTTGGAGTGCGAAGCGGAAAAACAAAAAAAGACAACCCTCTTTCCCTTCTGCTAAAGGTGGACAAGATCTTGCTATACATGTGTCACACCGGATTTTGGTCAGCTTCCTCACAGCGACTCACAGGGTCAAGGTATGAGCACAAGCTCCAACTGCGAATTGAGACGAAGCAACGACTGTAAATTATCTTTGATTTCTTTCTACGACCATCTATTTTCCTTTTTTTTATCTTGATTGTTGGTCAACCAAGTCAACATGTCCTCTCTATTCGCAGTTTGTTTTTACAACAATTTAAGGTATGATCTGTTGAACAGGTCATTTCACTTTGGAGCCGAAGGACTCTGCAAAGCTGTGCAAAAGCAGCAAGGCAGAAATTCTGTGCTTTCATACCCAGCAGCGCTAAGCGCTAAAAGAACCTTGGCCAACGGCAAAGAGGGGATGCTTCAGTTCAAACCACACACACAGAGTGGTGACAACACCAAAGGAAACAGCTGGTGATACGGCAGTTTCCCTAAAAATCTAGGAACCAAATGATTGGTGCGTGAGCTACCCTGCGTCCAGTAGGTAGCAGCGTCCAGTACCCAATAGCTACTAACTAGCTCACCTGTTCAACCTATCAGCGATGGCTTCCAACCTAAGAGCGATGGCCTCCAGCCTACTAGCAATGGCCGCCAACCTTAAGTTTCCTTAAAAATCTAGCAACCAAATGAATAGTGCGAGCGCTTCTTGTTGGAAGCTCCCCCCGCCTTAAAAGAAGGGTTGTTGTTACTTAAGTAGTAGCTACTTAAGCTACTAGCTACCTCTTCTACTGGCCACCTAGCTACTACTAGCTACCTCTTAGCGGCCTACACCCTTAGCTGTAGCTTCCTTCCAAGGCCGAGAGAAAACATATTCGAAGCCGAAAGACCTGGTGACAGCCACGGCCAAATCCCACAGAATGGCATCACCACAGCGGACCTCACTCGTTCGTCTCGTCGTCCTCGTCCATGTCCGCTTGAGCGCTTCTGTTGCCGCTTCTTTTTTGCGTTTAAATAAAGCATATACAAAAATAATCCGTTTCAAAGATTACCTGTTTATTTTTCTTTCACACCTTCTTTTTACATGTCTTTCACTTTTTTTGTTTGCCTTAAGAACACCTTCCGCTTCTTGGCCAAGCCACCGTGAAATCACCCGGATAAAAACGGGTGAAGGCCAGGATCAAAAGCACCAACAACCAAAGAGGCCTGGATTGAACTCTCCAAACAAAGCTTTCCGTCATGTTTTTGAACCCTCCAAAACCAAACAATCCTAACAATCATGAAGTGTTGGCATGGCATATTTCCCTTGCGGTTTGAGTCTGAAGAAAAATCCATGACTTCATTCCAGTCTCAAATGCTTCCGTGCTCTCGTGGTTAATGCCAAACAATCCAAGAAGAGTATGCCAACATGTTCTTTTCATCCAAGATTTGCATTTCTGAGTTTTGCATTTAGGAACAATGTTCGCTACTAGGGGCTCCTGGCATCGCTACTAGGGGCAAGGACGCTACTAGGGGCTCCTGGCCTTACTACTAGGAGCAAGAAGCTACTGCAAAGGGCATCGCTACTAGGGGCATTCTTTCCCTTTGTTTCTCCGGTCCGTTCCGTCGTACGGGCGCCTCTCCGTGAGCTTTGCCACGCGCCGCCATTGGCGATGCCGCCAGCGGGAGAGCCACACGGAGGTGGAGGCCTCAAGGTAACTCACGCTTCTTTTCCTCAATGGAAGAGGGAATCAAAACGAAAAGAATGCGAAACCGCTTCGAAGGTCAAACTAAAACTCAATGACACTCAACTAACAAGCTGAAATTCTATGCTCAGTTTGTCTAAAAAACAGCAACGTACAATATAATGGAGCAATTCAGCAAAAGTATCTTTGCCATCGCTGTTCTGGTGAGATCCAACTTGGTGGGTTTTCTTTCCTGCCTGGTGCTTTGCAATCGTCGCACCTAGGAAGCATGTGGAGTTGTAGACACTCATGAAGGCCTCACACAATGTCAACAAAAAAGGTCGAAGAGAACTGGTTAGTAGTAGATTGTCTTGCTAGCAGGCCATTTTCATTCCAAACAATTCCTTGCCAAAGACCTGTGCTAGTAGCAAGGAGCACTTAAACCTATCCCCTCAAGGTCAGCATTGTAGCATTTCTTGATGTAGTAAAAGGTGTCGCTGCCCGGTCAAAGCCTGACGAGCCATGTTGAATTCGGCACGCAAAAGCCCAGCTGTACCAAAACCACTTGAGAAGCTGGAACCTGGCACAGCTCAATTCTGGCCAGCAAAACGGTCCCTGGCTTTGGAGCAAGTAGCACAGGAAACAATTGAATACATATGATTGGAGATCTTCAAAAGTTATCCATTTCAGCTTCACTGCCTGTTGGCCTCCCACTTACTCGAGACTTACATGAACACAGCAAACACGGAGACTCGGAGACTACTTGGACCCTCAAAACAAACGCACCACGTGTGTCAATCTCTCAAGGCTAACTTGAACAACATTTTCCATTCCTGTTCGTTTTTTTGGCCTCTTTCGACTCTCTCTCTCTCTCTCTTCTGTTTTTGCTAAGTCGCCAGAGCCCGAGAAGAGCCGAGCGAAGGCATTGCCGGTGGTGGCTACGGCCTGGAAGACAGACCTGCCGCATGACGGAGTGATACCAAATACCCTGGGATATCAGCGTGTTGGATAAGCCTCGTAGTTCAATTGCCGTGTCGGAACACATTGGGCAAGGACGCTACTAGGAGCAAAGGGCATCGCTCCTAGGAGCAAGGACGCTACTAGACCTCACTTTCAACGTCTCTGCCTGCCGGCCGAAGCTGCTCCTATGACTGGTGAGAAGAAGAACGACGTTGCCGGTTGCAGCAATGAAGACGCAGCAGAAGTTGCCATCGTTGCCGCCGAAAAGAGGCCAAGGCCTCAACATTGTATCGTATCCCCGGATGTTCGGAAAGCGGGAAAAGGGGGTGTGGCGCAACCTGCATACAAATGTAACTCTCCCACAAAGATGCTACTTCAACTATTAATGACGCAATCATCGATAAACAACTGTGAAATCAGTTTTGCAAGTTCTATGCAACTTGGCTCGGCACAAATGCTCTTGAGGAAGTCCCAAAGCATTTGGAGGCCATGCCATGTGCGCCGCAAGATGGTGTTGTAGGGTAATATCCATCCCAAGAGGAACGAAAGACGCACCTGTCGTCAGGATTCTTGTGGACTTGCGTTGGGGGTCTTCAAGCGTGGGTCTACGGACATCTGGCTTCAAAAAAAAGAAAGGAAGAACGAAAAGGATTGAACAAATACAAGCCAAACATGTCCAAAGAAAGAAAAGAACAAAAAGATAACCAAAAAGAAAAACCATAAAAAACTCAAACATGTTTAAGGCTATTTTTATTAGTCTGTCTGTTTGTTGGGAGCTTCTCGACTTTTTCCTGTTTGAATGTTGAACGCTCCGTCTCGTCCAAGGCACAACTACGAGCTCCTCCAGCTTGCTACTCAAAGGGCCAAGCGATTGTTTCAGCAAGGATCGCACCAAAGGAATGCGTTTGTATCTGCGATCGAAACAAAACAAATGCAAACAATAAAACATAACAAAACAATACGCATCTATGCCAATCTATGCAATCAATCTTCCTCACATCTACATTCGCAAACACAATTCTACCTGTTCTGCATAGTCTCTCAGCTCACATTCTTTCCTTTTGTGAAAACTCCTCTGGAAGTGTCTAAGCCGTCGGCAAATCGTAGAAACCCAAGAGCATCGATAGGCACGACACTAGCACCACAATGGCCGCCACAAGATGACGCATGTAGCGGTGGTAAAGACCCGTGAATTTGGGCAAGACCTAGGAGAGAACGCTACTAGGAGCAAGGACGCTACTAGGGGCTCCTGGCATCGCTACGAACGGAGCAAGGACGCTAGCTCCGTATCCCGCTCCGCTGAACATCGAACATAAGAAGAAAGAAATGCGGGCCGGAGTTCAATCAGAGTGGTTGGCACTATCTGGCATGTGGATCTACGAACTGATTGGAACCGCGATTGGTCACTTTTGTTTACTTCCGAAACGGTCTTGACCAACTGATTCCAAGGTACAATGGCCCAGGCTGGAATGCCAGCCTCACAGAGGCGTAATAGGCGATGATGTTCAGGATCATGGATCACCTCCCGCGGGGGAAAGACAGGACGCTACTGCTAGGAGCAAAGGGCATCGCTACGAACGGAGCAAGGGCCTTACTATTAGGAACAAAAGGACGCTACTAGGGGCTCCTGGCATCGCTACTAGGTAACCAGGGCACTACTACTAGTAGTAGCATGCATTCCTTAAAAGAACCCTGATGTGCACATATCACAATTTCCCTTTGCCTCGCGAAGCACATAGGGAAGGAATGGATCGTCAAAGCGAAAGTTCACCTCAAAGCCGAAGCAATGATCCGTTCAGAACTCTCCACCTGTCTGGAGCCAAGCTCGCTCTTCGAACCGGTCAAGCTATCAAGCACCTCTTCAACGATGCCGCAAAAAAAATGAACAGAATGTCAACTCCTCTCAACCGTTTTTAAGTTTCACTTTCACATATAGTTCCCAAGCACAAACATCCTGAGTCATCACAGCTTGATTTGGTCTCGCCATGTTGCAGTGCGATTGTAGAGGAGCTCCACCACCTCTTGCGAGGTGTTGAGAACTCCAACGCTGCTTCCAGTGCCACCATCGCAGCCGTAAACCTCTCCAGCCTTGTAGCCGTTCCAGCTTTTGACTTTATCTGTTTCACCTTTTTTGTTTCTGTCTTTGGACCTTTAGAAGATCCTACCTATTTATCTGTTCTTTCCTTTCTTCCCAGCTTGGCGACACCAGGGCCATGTATATATTTGGCTCCGAGAAAGCTTGGAACATAGTGGTTGATCTAGCTGCATCCCCCAAAAAGATCGCGCGTGTAAGGCACAATTCGACGGGCCTCACTCGGTGTCTCGTCTGTCTTTGCAAAGTCCTCGTCCTCCGCAGCTCTTATTTGCGACGACCAAACATCTCGACAACATTTGCACATGTTTCCAACGGCCAAGACCTATGTCGAAAGGCCAAATCCAATCTGTTGGTTCTTGCGCTGTCCACTCTTGTTTCTATCCTAGTAGGTTGGAGGCCATCGCTAATAGGTTCCTTTTGCATTCAGTCAAAGGAAGCTTCTAGGTTGGATACGGCAGGGTCCAGAGATCGTGGCCGCAAGACGCGCTGGGCCGTCTCTGCCAAGGCATTGAGGCGAGCGTAGGATGCCTCTTCTGGGCGCGGCTGCCAATAGGTCTGTCGCACCTCCGAAGGAACCAAAAGCCGCGGACACAGGAATCACGTTAAAGCAAGGAGACCGTAAGGGAACGATGATCCGGTCCATGTCCTCTTTCAAAAATCGCTCTTAGGTGGAAGGCAAGGACGCTACGAACGGGGCTCCTGACCTTACCACTAGGAGCAAGGACCCTCTTTTTGGTTGGAGGCCATCGCTAGTAGGTCCTTTTTACAGCTCGGAGATCAACCCGTTCTCTGAACGTCTCAGCTCTTGCACCTTTGATGGCGATGTGTGGAGCTTGCAATTCTCTGTGCGTAGCTCAACCTGCGTTGGTGAACTCTGTGAACTCTAGCTGAATGCAAAGATATGCAGGTTGTGTTTAACCTCTGTGGAACCTGACTCGTCAATAAATAGGACTCAAAGAAGATAAAGACACTTTTAAACTTGTTCCTAATAGCTTCTTGTTACTACCAGTAAGGCACTTTTAAACGATCTTTTTGACTTCCCTTTGAACTCCCTGTGTCTGGACATCCAACCTAGAAGCTTCTTGTTACTAGTAGCGATGCCAGGAGCTACTAGTAGCGATGCCCTTGTTACTAGTAGCTATTTGCTGCTGGTAGCAAAAAAAACAAATAGGAATGGCCTCCAACCTACTAGCGATGGCTTCCAACCTGCCTTCTGCATGGTCACAGCGTTGCCAGCAGCTTGTGGCTGGTAAAGAGGAGAACCCGCATGTTGGGATGAACCAACTCCGCTCGTGACTCCGCTCGTCTCCCATGCGAAGTGCGCTTGGCACGAGCTGAGGTCTGGAAACCAACGCCGGGTCAAACGCCGCGCCTGGCATCCGAAAAAGTAGACCAAAAGGTGAATGAAAGCTCAGGATCCTACAACAACCAAACCCCAAACCGATCTGAACCGCTTTGAAGAAAGTGCAGCTTCCGTTGCTTCAATTCATCTGAGCCCAATTGCTGAGCAAAATCCAAAGGTACTATACATAATGTTTGACTGTTGACATTCGCCTCAATGACCACACGACTAGCATCGACCAAGAGTGGGTTCCAATAGTCGAGGCCAGCAATTTCATCAAGGCATATCTCGAAGGAGCAGACGCCGCCTGAGCCACCAAGAGCCACTGTGCACAGTACACTAGGCTGAAGGCCATCGCTAGTAGGTTGGAGGCCATCGCTTCTAGGTTGGAGGCCATTGCTATTAGGTTGGAGGCCATTGCTATTTGGTTGGAGGCCATCGCTTCTAGGTTGGAGGCCATTGCTATTCGGTTGGAGGCCATTGCTATTTGGTTGGACGCTATTGCTATTAGGTTG